ATTGTCCTCTAGGTGGCAGTATGGGAAAGCAAGACTTGATGTCCCATTGGCGATAGTCATGCATCAGCCCATTCTTACTGTAAATTATGACACTCATGCATCATAATGCAATCAGGCTGAGTTGCAGCGGTGGGATTAGCGATGACTAGACGGATTTCTATATGCATACTCATATTCTACATCAAGCTTTACTTAATCAATTAAATGGATATTTCACACCAAAAGTAAATGTTGTCATTATTAACTCATCCTCAGGTCGTTTCAAACATATAAAATAATTAGTTGTTGGTCAGTAATGATGATTTGGTAACTGAGTAGTAGTAGTAGTATTTCTAAGTTTTATACATTTTTGACTTTCACAGGTTTTTTTCAGTCACACTCCTCTGCGACACACTTGCAATCATCCTCCGCCCAGCCCTTGTGCTTCAGGCTCACAGGAAGAGTCACATTGTGAAGGTGTTGAAAGGAAACAGGCAAATGTGCTAGTCTAGCACTTACGCTAAATGCTCTTGCACCTACAAAAATGTGTGTGGTTCAAGATGTGTGACTCCAGCAACTAAACGTGTGGCCCACCCTGTGGTTGAGAATAATATATGAATAAAGCATCCACAGTTTATTGTGTAAAAACGACAATTTTAATATTTCTGAAGAAAATGTCAGTGATGTTGCCCCAATGTTAAGGTGCTGGGGTAGTGTAAGTGGGTTTTACTATGCTGTTTATATAAAATTGCTAGGGTGTTGTACGTCTAAAATATTTGTTTCTTATTTTTTCATCCACCAAGTCTGAGGCTTATTCCCATGCTAAAGTAGCTCTACAGGCCGTAATTTAAAAAAATGGTATTGTGTTTATTTATTTATTTATTTTTTCATATGTGTAGTTATATTTAGCTGAGTGATTCATCATACTATTTTTTTATTATTATTTCCACTAATACTGATGATTTTCTTTACTGTAATAATGTATATATATTGAGTATTATTACATTTTAAAACCAATTCCCTCAGAGTACTCAACAAACAAACATGCCGTCTCTATGTGCAAAACAAAACAAAAAACAGTATGATTACATTTTAAAAACAATTTCCTCAAGGTCCTCCAACAAACAAACATGCCGTCTCTATGTGCAAAAAAAACGTTTGATTACATTTTAAAAACAATTTCCTCAGAGTATTCAACAAACAAACATGTCATCTCTATGTGCAAAACAAAACAAAACAAAACAAAACAAAAAACAGTATGATTACATTTTAAAAACAATTTCCTCAGGGTCCTCCAACAAACAAACATATCATCTCTATGTGCAAAACAAAACAAAACAAACGTTTTTCTTGACGATAAGATCAAAACATACTTCACATCTCTAGAATATTCAGCTGTAGGATTTTTTTCTCACATTTTATCGTATGCCAGGCCAAAATAGTATGTCTGAGTTTTCTTCTCATGCTTAAAGCAACTCAACAGGCATTGATTAAATATAGCTCTAATATGTTTTCATAGGTATGGTTATATTTAGCTGAGCGATTCATCATGTTTTCATTCCGTGAGGTGCTGGTAGTCTGTGAGGGACGTTGGGAGATCAAGACTTGATGTCCCATTGGCGATAGTCATGCATCAGCCCATTCTTACTGTAAATTATGACACTCATGCATCATAATGCAATCAGGCTGAGTTGCAGCGGTGGGATTAGCGATGACTAGACGGATTTCTATATGCATACTCATATTCTACATCAAGCTTTACTTAATCAATTAAATGGATATTTCACACCAAAAGTAAATGTTGTCATTATTAACTCATCCTCAGGTCGTTTCAAACATATAAAATAATTAGTTGTTGGTCAGTAATGATGATTTGGTAACTGAGTAGTAGTAGTAGTATTTCTAAGTTTTATACATTTTTGACTTTCACAGGTTTTTTTCAGTCACACTCCTCTGCGACACACTTGCAATCATCCTCCGCCCAGCCCTTGTGCTTCAGGC